AAATTTCTTGCCATATTTTCCAATATAAGAAAGTGTTAATCCTTAATTTCTTTCTTCTTCCTGTTGACCTTAATAGTTTCAGTTGTACTTAAAAGGAAAAGATGAATTAAGAGAGAATTATTTTAATGGCAGTCTTGTAAAAGAATTTGTAACTTTAAAAGTGGGCTTAACAACATGAAAAAAACCAAATCCTTTCAAATGGAAAGAAAGTGTCAACAGGACCACCATGCAAGCATCCCATTGTTTGCAAATACTTCATTAACAGTGGTTCCAGGTCTTAATTTTATGCACAGGACAACATATAATTTTTCACCTGATGGGAGGATTTAATTAGAAATGTATAATGGTCTGACAGGCTGATAGACTTTACCTAAAGGGGTTTGTGGTGTTCATAGCATGAAAGTACATTCTTTTCAGGAGTCTTACAAAAACAATTCAAGTTTCATCACCTCTGTGACTAATTCTGTCATTGCTTTATTCTTGGTAGAGCCTGGAGTTCTTTCTCTGTGTGTTATAAAGTACTGGGTTTTGTTCTTTATTTCCACAGTTATCAAACAGCGAACAGAAGTGGTGGCTGAAGTTTATCGATTATGGCTACAGCTATCATTCACCGTATGTAGAATAATTATGTGATGCTTTTTCTGATGTGCTATTTAGGAATACAGTTGACTGGAAGAGTTAATTCATAGCAATTTATTAATAGCTGAATTCATAATGCTTTTCTTGTGTGTCTGTCGGAGCCTCTAGATTTCAGAGTGTTGGGCTTTGGCTTCTTGGTCTTACGTGAATCCCTGAAATCTGTGTTCCTAATATCCAGTGTATTCCCTTGATCTTTAAAATGCTTTCACTGGATTTTTAAGACCATTTCTATGTTCTGGTAATACTTGGAGAACTGATCAAAAAAAGAAAAAAAAGCCAAAAAGCCCTGTCTGTTGACTCTGAGGATATCTGAGGTACCTGACATTCTAAAATACTGTAGCAATATACTACTGTGAAAAGAAAACCAGGGCTATTTCCCATTCCCCTCACTTGTCCTGACAATGTGCTGTGATTGCAGCATGGTGATAAATAACTTCCTTCCCATGTTCTGCACATTTCAACAAAGTTAATTTGGGCATGATATGTAACTACAGAACCCATCACCTACCTAGTTTTTGTAGGGCATCTAGAAAGAGTTACTAGTCCAAATTTTTGCTTGCACTGGCTCTGTTACTATCAGTTTCCCCTTGAGTCACATTGGATTGGAGACTGACTCTGAAATGTTTATATCCAGTTTACAGTTCTTTTCGCGCTTCCATGACCGATTCCTGAGAGATTGCTGGTATGTTTCTAGAAAAAACTGGCATAGAGGTAAGGCTGTTTCTTAATTTCCCCCCCTGTGTCATTATTGTATTTATTTAAAAAAATAAAAGAAGTAATTACCATTCTGGCCAAACTATTATATTGAAGGCAAATTGATACTGAATTAGGACTGAATGGCTTCTTCATGATAATCTGATTGAATTTTGAGTCATTTATTTCTTCCCCATG